TAAACTAACTTGCATCATTGTGCAAATCATCTTTCCACTGTTTGATAGACACCTGAGACAAATGGCTTGAAAGAAGCAAAGATTTAGTTTGATTCCTACTTTCAAAGATATCAATCCAAAGTCAGTTGGCCCCTTGTTTGGGGGTCTGTGGTAGAGAAAAGAGCATGGTGAGAAGCAAATGCTAATCAAAGATGCCAAGATCATAGTAGAAAAAAGGGGGGCAGAAAAGGGCACCTGGGGCCCCAATATTCCCTTCAAGGACTTGCCCACAGTGTCCTAACTTCTTTCTGCTGAGTCCTGTCTCAAAAGATTACCATCCACCAACAACACCACAGGCTGTGGGCAAGAATTTATTACATGAGTCTTTCAGAGATATTTAAAACCTGGCTCATAAACTGGGTGTGGAGGGTGCAAGTCTATAACCCCAGCACTCGAGAGGCTGAGGCAGAAGGATGGCAAATTGGAATCCCTTCTGGGCTTCCAGGAAAGTTAAACCAAACCTAGACTACAGAGTGAGACCCCAACTCAACACTTCCTAAGCACCCCCAAAAGATGAGTCCCTAAAACCAGGTCACTATGACAATATTGTAAGTGCTGTGCACTGTCGTTTCCATGGACAGCCCTGCACTTGGCAGAGCCGTGGTCAAGACTCTGCTGGCACTGGGCATCTGCCAGTCAACAGGTTAAGAACAGTCATTGCCACAGGATCCCAGGGTGGAAGAAGTTCCAAGTGTTGGACACCAGCTCTCACCAGTGGACTCTACACCAAGAGATGTCTACCAAGGGGAGCAGCAAAACACTCACTGTGGCTTTTATGACAAATGCACAAGTATTTCTTGATATGCCTTATGACATTCATCAAGTTTAAATAACTACTTACTGCTAGGGTATAATTCTGGATGTACTTCATAACATCTGGAAATGTGCCACTGATTGGAATGCAAGGGAAGTTTTTTAACAAAAGAATTAGAGGGGTTTTTATTCTGTTGAAGCTCATCTCATATCCATGTAGCACTGGGAGTGTAGCTCAGTGTCAGAACACTCATCTGGAGTGCACAAGACCCCAGGTTCAAGCCCCAGAACAAAGACAAACACATACAAATTCACATGAACATTTGGTTTATTTTGATTAACTTTGGGTTATAGTTACTCATGAATACTAGATAGAGGGGTGTTCTCCTGAAGGTCCTTGATGTAAAACTAGACCATTTATACTAGTTCTTGAGGCAGATATGGGTAGTTTGAAATGTGCAA